CGCCGACAGTCCCGCGCGCAACACCTGTCACCGCTGTTGACAAACACCTGTCACCGCTGTTGACAAACACCTGTCACCGCTGTTGACAAACACCTGTCATCGCTGTTGACAGGTGCGCCGGACGGCATCTCCACGCTCCCAGGTACGACGCTGATTCACGTCACGTAATTGCGAGGCGGGTGACTTCGATTCACGTCGCGTGAGTGTGCAGCGAGCGACGCCGATACACATCATGTCACCACGCTGCAGCCGACAGCGGTTGTCGCAGCAGAGCGCGGCGAGTTCGGCAGTCGAAGCACGATCCTGATTGCTGTCACGTCACGCACGCACGCACGCACCGCGGTGCAGCGTGCGATCGATGGGCACGCCGTGTCGTGATGCTTATTGCAGTGTGAGCACTGCTGTACTCACACTGCTGTAGAGCTGGGAGGCACAGTTTGTGATGTCATTGTGATGAGACAGCATGGTGTACAGCTGAGTGCCACAGTTTAAGATATCACTGTGATGAGACAGCATGGTGTACAGCTGAGTGTTATGCTTTGTAATGTCACCATGATGAGACAGCATGGTATACAGCTGAGTGTCACGCTCCGTGATGCCACTGTGATGAGACAGCATGGTGTATAATGTCACTGTGATGAGACAGCATGGTGTACAGCTGCGTGTCATGTTCCGTGATGTCACTGTGATGCCACAGCATGCTATACAGCTGAGTGTCACAGTTTGTGACGTTAGTGTGACGTAAGCACGGTGCACAGCCAGGAATCACTGTCTGTGACGTTACTGTGATGTTACGGTGACGTGAGCACGGTGACCAGCCAGGAATCACTGTCTGTGACGTTACTGTGATGTTACGGTGACGTNAGAGGGATGAGCATACTAATTACTATAGCATCACTACCATACAGAGAGGGATGAGCAGTGAATAACTGCAGCACAGCCTACCTGAGTAAGAGCTTGGAGAGTCTATCAAGGTCGTCGCTGCTCGCTGCAACCAACTCCCGTAGCTCACTGTACGCCTTCTGCTGAAACCGCTCCACCTGCCTGGCGTTAGTCACCCCGGGCGTGTCTGCCAACAACAACAACGACAACAACGATAAAGACACGCAAGTGACGGCGCGACGCGAGTGACACCGTACTAAAATTACCGAAAAACTAGTCCTTATTTAAACCATCACAATAAAATAAAAATGTTGGTGAAATGATGAAATGAATCTTACAAGTGAAGGCACATCACTAAAACTGGCACATGAGGGACAAGCTGCATTCAAGCTTGATTGGCTTTTGGTCGAAAACTGGCATTTCGATCACTAGTACAGGATTGTGCCACAAATACACACATGAAGCCAGCACGTGGCAATAACAAAAACAAAGCAGTATTAAATTAATCAATACAGTATATCATGTATATAAAGTACAGCTAATTAAAGTTCTTTAAAGTACTTTTTTTCTTACAGCTAAATTAAAATCTTTTCAGACGGGTCTTTCATGATAGTGAGAAATCTCCCACACCCAAATAAACCGGTACTGTGCATGCTTTCACACACCGCATTACGCTTTTCTACGCTCCCACGTCGCACGCCTGAATAAACCGGTACTGCGCATACTTTCCCCCAGCCTGACAACGCGTTCTCAGAGACGCCCCGTACTCACCCGTGCTGAAGAGGACGATAGACTTGAGGTAGGCGTACTCCGTGTCGCTCACCTGCAGCCGGCTCATGCAGGTGACGTACTCCTGCAGGCGGCAGATGTGCTCCGTCACCAGCTTCACCTTGTCCGAGCTCAGCCGGTCTGTGGCGCCAACAGAAGGCAATCGGCACGTGAAACACCCAAACAAACACAGAGAGAGACGCGCCACCGCCAACTTTACTGACTACTACCCTGTAACCAGTCCTTATCTACTACCCAATAACCAGCTCTTACCTATTACCCTGTAATCAGCTCTTACCTATTACCCTGTAATCAGCTCTTACCTATTACCCTGTAATCAGCTCTTACCTATTACCCTGTAATCAGCTCTTACCTATTACCCTGTAATCAGCTCTTACCTATACCTTGTAATGCTATCTGCTAACTATTACCTGGTACTTCAGCTAATACTATTACCTGTAATCACTATTACCTTACTACCACTCATAACTGTAAATCAGCTCTACCATATTACCTTAATCACTCTACCTATTACCCGGTAATCAGTTTACCTTTACCCTGTATATTCAGCCTTACCTACCTATAACCATTAATCGAGTTCTTACCTATTACCTGTAATCAGCCCTTACCTAATTACCATGTAACAGCTATCTTACTAATTACTGTAATCAGTTCACCTTATTCTGTAATGAGTTGCCTATTACCTCGTACATCGCTCCTTACCTATTACCCTGATAATCAGCTCTTAACTAAATACTCAGTTACCCTGTAAATAAGCTCTTTACCTAATTACCTGCTAATGACGCTTTACTTATTACCGTGGTAATCAGCTTTCCTATTACTGTATCGCTCTTTACCTACTTACCCTCCCAGTCCTGTAATCATCAGCTCAGTACGATTAACCCTTTAATTCAGCTCTTACTATTACCCTGTAATCAGCTTTACCTATTACTGTAATCCTCTTAACAATTACCCTGCAAATCAGCGCTACCTATTACCCTGTAAATCACTTTCTTACCTATTACCTGTAATCAGCTGCTTACCTATTACCATTAATCAGTTCTTTACCTCATTACCCTGTAACCAGGTCTTACCTATTCCCTGCTAATCAGCCTTACTATTACCCTGTGAATAGCTCTTACCTATTACCCTGTAAATCTAGTTCTTACCTATTACCCTGTAATGAGACTCTTACCTATTACCTTGTAAGCAGCCATTACTATTACCTGTAATCAGCTGCTTACCTATACCTCAAAGTACCTGTATCAGCTCCTTACCTATTACCTTTAATGAGCTCTTACTTAGTTACACCTGTAACTTCAGCTTTACCTAATTACCCTATGTAATCAGCTCTTACCTACTACCCGCTGTACCTGTAATCAGCTCTTTTACCTTTACCCTGTAATCAGCTAGCTTACCTTATTACCTGTATCAGCTCGTTAGCCTATTACCCTGTAATCAGCTTGTCTTTTCCTAATTACTGCTAAGTCAGCCCTTACTATTACCTGTAATCAGCTTACTTAACATATTACCCTGTATCAGCTCTTACCTATTACTGTATCAAGCTCTACTATTAACTGTAATCACTGCTTACCTATACCCTCATACCCTGATAATCAGCTTCTTACTATTTACCCTGGAACAGCTCTTACCTATTACCCTTATCAGCTCCTTACTATTACCTGTAATCAGCTACTTACCTATTACCCTTGTAATAGCCTTACCTTTACCTGTACAGCTCTACATATTACCATGTATCAGCTCTTACGTATTTACATGTATCAGCTTTAACCTATACCTGTAATCAGCTCTTACCCTTATTACCCTGTAATCAGTCTTACTATTACCCTGCTAATCGCCTTACCTATTAACCTTAAATCAGTTTCTTACATATACGCTGTAATCAGCGCTTACTATTCCAATGTAATTCAGTCTTACCTACTTACCCTGTAATCAGTATTAGACTATTACCTTACCAGCCCTTACCTATTACCCTGTAAGCCATATATTACCTACTTTACCCTGTAATTCAGCCCTTACTATGACTATATACCACTTTACTAATACCCTAAGTAATCGAGCCCTTACTATTAACCCTGTAATCACTTCAATTACAACCAATAACCCTGTAATCAGTCTTAAACCTATCATAATCTACACTGTAAATCAGCCATTACACTAATTACCCATTAAATCAGCAATAACTTATCCTACTACCTGTAATCAAAGGTTCATTACTAAATTACCTTAAGTAATCAGCTCTTAACCATAATCATACCATGTAATCGCTAATTACCTAATTACCCTGCTAATCAAGACTCTTAACTATATACCCGTAATCAGCCTCTTACTATTACCCTGTAAATCAGAAACTCTACAAGTAAATAAATAAT